GAGAGGTGTCCGTGTCTGATGAGCTTGTGTGCAAAGTGTCTCTGGAAGTGTCTCTGGAAGTGTCTCTGGGAAGTGTCTCTGGGAAGTGTCTCTGCGTGTCTCGGAAGCGTCTCGCGCCTCGAGGACGGCGTTGGAGAGGCTCGTGTCGGAGAGCGAGGCGGAGGCTAGGCTCGCGCCCGTCAGCACCGCGCCGCGCAGGGCGCAGCTCGAGACGGTGGCGTGGCTCAGGTCCGCCTGTTCAAGGCCAGAGCTGTGAAAGAGCCGCCGCTCACACCTCCAGTCAGAGGCAGCGTGGCGTGCTCAGGGCCTCCGCCATCGATCCGCCCTGGACGGTGAGCCGCTCGAGCGAGGTGTGCGCGAGGGTGGCCCGCTCGAGCGAGCAGCCACGCAGGGTGAGGCCGTTGCAGTTCGTGTCCGCGTCGAAGAGAGCTCGCTCGAGGTGGACGCCTGCGTGCAGGCAGCTCGACGAGGATGCTTACTGCGCGGGGGGCTACTGCTGCGGCTACACTGCTGCTGTGCTGCTACTGCTACGGTACGGCGCAGTCAGGGTACTCGCCTGTGCAAGCAACACCGTCGCGCCGTCTGTCTTTTGTCGCCAGATCTCGAGAGGGGGGGGGCGCGGGCGCACGGCTGAAGACGGAGAGCCAGAGCGTCGCGCCGCGCCACATCGAGCCGGGAAGCTGGCAGTCAATGACCTAGCAACATGCAATTCCTGACTTCCAAAGTGCAAAGATGGGACTGCTGTGCTGCTACTGCCGCTGTAGCTGCTGCTGCTGCTACTGCTGCTGCCGCTGCTGCTGCTACTGCTGCTGCTGACAAGAGTTCGCCTCGGTCTCGGTGAGGTCGGCGTGGTCGAAGATGGCCCCCTCGCCCGCCCGCAGCCCCGCCACCGCCGCCGCGCGCATGTCTGCGCGCGAGAAGTCGGTGGCGGTGACAGTCGCCCCGGTGAGGTCCGCCTCCTCCAAGTCCGCCCTCCTGGAGGGCGCGAGCCAGGGTGTCAGAGAGGGGGTGTGTGGCGGGTGTGTGCGTCGCGTGAGCTCTGCTCTATCTCTGCTCTATCTCTCGGCTGCGGGTCTCTCTAGGCGCTGTGCTTGAAGGATGCGCGAGAGAGGACGGCGCCGGAGAAGTCCGCCTGCTCGTTGATTCCAACGGACGCAGATTCGCATTCACGTGCCCGAGAGACGCGGCTCGGGTGTCTGGGGCTAGGGTCTGGGAGGCGGCTCGTTCACCCCGAAGAGGCGCGCCCACTGCAGCGACGCTCCTGTACGGGGGGGGGGGGGGCGCCCTCCGCATCCTGAAATGAAAAAGGGTGAAAGGCGAGGGCCACGGCCCCCCTAAAAAGGCTCGCGCCCTATAAGGCACGTCTCCTCTCCCTCCCCCTCCCTCACCGGCGCGGGGGGTCGGTTGCGACAGCTGCGTCTATGGCGTGTCACCCGACGCGAGGCAAGTGCTGCGCTTTGACCCAGAGACGCAAAACTCGATGCTGATCGGAGCAGACTTGGGTGGGGAGGAGTACAAGTGGTCTGACGGTGTCCTCGGCCGCGACGGCTGCATCTACGGCATTCCGCACGACAGCGCAAGGGTGCTGCGCTTTGACCCGGTGGCAGAGGAGGCGACGCTCGTGGGGCCCTACCTGGGACAGGGAGGCGGCAAGTGGGACGGCGGAGTGCTCGGGCCCGACGGCTGCGTCTACGGCGTGCCCTTCAACTCTGCGCGTGTGCTTCGCTTCGACCCGTCGACGCAGGAAGTGACTCTCGTCGGCCCGGACCTTGGCGAGGGCGACGAGGCCAACCCGC